TGTGCAGGGGGGCGGCGGGGACCCCCGAGCGGCTCGGAGTGGCCCCTTGGACGCCAAGGAAGAGGAGAAGGCACCTGTGGAACCGACGGCTCAGGTGCCGGACGCTGGCGGATGTGCGAGCGAGGTAGGTGCAGAGCGGGACGCGAGCAAAGTGTGGCGTCTACGCCGCCCGAAGCCCCCGAGGCTTGTGTCGAATCTGGGCAGGGGCCACTCTCGCTGTGTCCTGACACCCTTAGTCCCTGGGCTTTGCAGGTTCGCAAAGCTACTAGTGCTGTTGCTGTGGCTTTTAGGTGTTTAAGGAAGAAGTGGATGAAATCATCCGTTTGGTTGTAGAGAACATCTTTCCTTGTGTTTGATGGCTGGCAAGAGTAGTTCGGGGATGGGGAGGGGAGAAGCAATGCCCGCTGTCTTCGCTGAGTACCTCATGTACACTGGGATGTCATTCTCTGGGACCCGTGCCCGACCTGGACGATGTGAAGGAAGCCGTGACCTCTGGGAGGATGCACGTTTTTAAGAACGACTCTCCCGGCCTAACGCAAGGGCCTTCGCCCTGATTTCAACCCAATTGCTGTTCGTTTTTGCTGCTTCCCTGGATTAAGGAGCCATGGTCAGGGTCTATTCAGAGGCCAGCTGGCAGGCGGTCCCCCTGTGACTTAACCATCCCCTGCACCTAGCAATCCTTCTTCCTGGAATTTGTGTAACCTCTTATTACCATAAAGAAAACAGGTACCTTGACAGTCACCTAGTGACTAACAAGTTCCCTTTGGTTTATGGGTCCAAACCCTTCTCTGGCTTAACTTCTTTCTGAAACCAAGTTTACCAAGATCTGTTGGTTGAAGTATCTGGTGCTCCCCATGGAACGTTTGAGTTCAGTGTAACGACACTTTAGCACCAATTTCCACAAAACCACTTTACTCAAAGTTCCTTCCACGGGACTTTTAAAATTCTGTCTTGGCTCAAACTTTAGTGTTTGCAACTGGTATCGATCGACCAGTGGTGATCAACAAGTGTTCTTCGGGTGTTGTTTTTGTGGGGCGCATTCTTATGCAAAATGGGATTTGGGGCTAAACTGGTTTGTTTGCTGCTCTTCAGAATTGCCGTTTGTGTAGGCAGTTGCCAGACAAGCTTCTCCACCCTCCTGGAGGGGTCATTGTGTGGAAGTGCTCGGTGATTCACTGTTATGCTGATCTGAGCCCTTCCTCTTCCTGGGGACCGGAACCAACGGGGTGGGGGCCTGTGAGAGTCTTGGAGGGATCCTTCTGTGTTCAGGATATACTGTGGGAGGTTCTTCCCCGCTCACTTATCCAATCTGGACCCTATGGGGTCTGTCTAACCTAAATACTCTGCCCTCTAATAAGCGAGTACATGCTGCACTGCCACCATTCCTGGTTCTGTAACACAGAATTGAAACCTAGTGCTGGATGCTGTAGCAGATGGCACTCTGCCACCCACACCCGAATGCCAGCCCGCGTGCAAAGTGTACAGGGACTTGGAGGGAGGAGAGAGAGGAAGCTGTTCAATCCTCAGAAACTTCCCTCCTACATGACCTGGGAGACAAGGTGGCCTTCCCTTGGCTGTTTTTTGTTTGTTTGGTTTTAAATACAGGGTCTTGCTCTGTCACCCAGGCTGGAGTGCAAAGGGGCAACGACGACTCACTGCAGCCTCAACCTCCCCGGCTCCAGCGATACTTCCACTTCAGTCTCCCAAGTAGCTGGGACAACTGGTGTGCACCATCATACTGGCTAATTTTTTGTAGAGAGAGGTCTCACTATGTTGCCTAGGCTGGTCTCGAACTCCTTGGCTCAAGTAACCATCCCATCTCCGCCTCCCAAAGTGCTGGGTTTACAGGCATGAGCCACCGTGGGTGGCCTAGACTGGCAGGCCTGCCTTAGAGGCAGCTTTTGAGTCTGGGCCAGCCAAACCACTGTGGAGGCTCTGAGTCCAGCTTTCCTAGGGGAGAGAGTGAAGTTCCCCGATAACCATTCTCCTGGCAGTGCCTTCCTGGCTGGGCTGGCATGTGTGCACCATGTTCACTTCTGGGATGACCTGGTTACATTCAATCTGGCAAAAATCAGCTGTCTGGCTCCTTACAGTTGTCACGGCCAGTTCACTTTTGTAGCCTTTTACATCAACCTTGTGTGATGCACTGGCCAGGCACCCTTATATACAATTTGTACTTAAGAAAAATAGGTCTGAGTGTGGTGGCTCACACCTGTTATCCCAGCACTTTGGGAGGCTGAGACGGGCAGATCACTTGAGGTCAAGAGTTTGAGACCAGACTGGGCAACATGGTGAAACCCCATCTTTACTAAAAATACAAAAATTAGTTGGGTGTGGTGGCACATGCCTGTAGTCCCAGCTACTTGGGAGGCTGAGGCACGAGAATCGCTTGAATCTGGGAGGCGGAGGTTGCAGTGAGCCGAGATTGTGCCATCCTGGGTGACGGAATGAGAATCTGTCTCAAAAAGAAAAAAATAAAAAGAAGAAGAAAACTAGAAGCCCAGGTTAGGGATTTGGCTAAAGCCACATGTCAGTGCAAAAAGAGGGACTAGAGCCTGAGTCTCCCGACTCCCAGACTGGCACATTAATTAAGTACCTGCACTGTACTCAGGCTCTCTGGACATCTGGGACGTCTCAGTGCATCTGGGATGGGGTGACTCAGCCTCCCACTGCCCACGCTAACCACTCTCCAGTGCTAGACTGTGCCATTCATAATGAAGAGGTTGCAATTTAGAACCATGACTTTGGGGAGAAAATGGGCTGGAAAAACAACACTGGTCTTTGTAGTCAGCTAGACCTGGGTTTGGGAGCATCACCTGCTAGTATGCCCTTCCATACGCTGCTTGAATCACTCCAAGCCTCAGGGTCTCATGTCAAGTGGGAGAGGAATGTGTACTCCAGAGGGAGTTGTGCTGATTAAGTGGGAAAAGCCCATTGGGAAGGGCAGCATGGTGCCTGGATTGTATAGCTGCTGTCTTCTGCCCTCCGTCCTTAACCCACCCTCCTTCACCTGTCCCTGCTCACTGGATTCCTTTTGGCTTTTTTGTCTACATATCTAGTTTGGTTGGTTATTAAAAAAGTGGGGTGTGCTAGACCCAGACTGCCTGGTTTTGAATCCCAGTTCTACTACTTCTGTGACCTTGGACAAGTTGCTTAACCTTTCTGTGCTTCATTCTCTTCTCCTGCACAGTGGGAATCAGAAGGGTGCTAACCTCAGAGGGTTGATGTGAGAATTAAAAAGTTCATTCCACGTAAAGGGCTTAGAACTTGCCTGTCACTTAAGTGCTTAGTAAATGTTAGCTACTGTTAACTTCAAAGAGAGGAAGTGCTTTGTCCCCTAGGAACATAATTTTTAATTTTAAAAAATAGATAATTCCAGTGGCTTACATTTGAGTTGCAGGAGTTTTATAGTATAATTTTCCATAATTTATGTACATATGCAAAAATATTTTGGAGTAGGGGATTTTCCAAGTATCAGAAGGAGTACTGCTTTGGTTTCACTTCTTACTGGGGCTTATCATTATCTGAAAACCGACTCTGGAATTCCCCAGGGCCGACACGCTTCCCTTCATAACCACAGTCGTTCACAACGGATGAAGCATGCATTCTTCCAGGTAACACACGGGTTAAACAAAGAAATGAACAGTTTTTGTAGAATTGAATGTGTAAACGTATGGAACAGCTGCTTACAGCCAGCTTCAGTATTTCAGAGAGTTGTTGCCACTTTGAAACTGAGAGGGCTTGTGGTCATTTTGATGTGGTTTCCTATCCTGGTACAGAGACCTTCTGCTGGGTGAGGGGTCTGGTAAGACCTCTTGATTAACTGCTTGAAGAAACTGTTGGGCTGGGCCGGGCATGGTGGCTCAAGCCTGTAATCCCAACACTTTGGGAGGCTGAGGCGGGAGGATTACGAGGTCAGGACATCGAGACCATCCTGGCTAACACGGTGAAACCCCGTCTCTACTAAAAATACTAAAAATTAGCCGGGCATCGTGGCCGGGCATGGTGGCACGTGCCTGTAGTCCCAGCCTGAGGCAAGAGACTCGCTTGAACCTGGGAGGTGGAGGTTGCAATGAGCCAAGATTGCTCTACTGCACTCCAGCCTGGGTGACAAAGTGAGACTCCATCTCAAAAGGAAAAGAGAGAAAAGAAACTGTTGGGCTGGTTTCTTCAGGGCACAGAAAGAATCTGATCTAGTCAATATTTATTTTTTTTTGAGACAGGGTCACTTTGCCTCGCAGGCTGGAGTATAGTAGTACCATCACAGCTCACTGCTGTCTCAACCTCCTGGGCTCAAACGCTTCTCCCACCTCAGCCTCCCAAGTAGCTCGGACTACCGACACGCACCACTGCTTCTGGCTAATTTTTTTTTTTTGATAGAAATAAGGTCTCTCAATGTTGCTCAGGCTGGTCTCAAACTCCTGGGCCCAAGTACAGGCATGAGCCACTGCACCTGGTCTCAATATTTAATTCTAAGAGTAAAGGAAAGAGAAAGAAGGTCCTTGATTGTTAAAGTAAAAATTGTTTTTCATTTCAGAATAAAAAACAGTCTCTAACGCCTGGGCAATTGGAAAAGAAATTTCAGACATTTGCCCGTTTTAAAATCACAGCTATGTTACGGAAATAGTCTTAAAATTACATACAGTGCGTTTATGACAAGCGTTCACAGTGGGATTTGCATTTTTTTACTAAAGGAAGTTTAAAGGTGCACTATTGTCTTTGTATGGGGAAGGATGTCATTTAAGTCACTGTATGAGTTTGCTAGGGCTGCCATAACAAATACCACAGACTGGGTGGCTTAAACAGAAACTTGTTCTCTAACAGTTCTGGAGGCAAGAAGTCCAAGATCAAGGTGTCAGCAGAGTTGGCCCTCCTGTGGGCTGTGAGGGAGAAAGTGTTCCACAGCTCTCTCCTGCATTTTGGTGGTTTGCTGGCAATCTTTGGCATTCCTTGGTTTCTTCTCCATCACCTGAGCTCTGCCTTTATCTTCACATGGCGTTCTCCCTATGGGCATGTCTGTATCCAGATTTCCCTTTTTTGTTGTTGGGTTTTTTTTGTTTTGTTTTGTTTTTTATTTTTGAGACGGAATCTTGCTCTGTCTCCCAGGCTGGACTTCAATGGTGC